GTGTTCACATATATTCAGACTGCAGACAGCATGTCTAGTAAATAGGCAGATATATCATTCATTATCTTGTTCTGTTTCTATGGTGATAAATACAAGGTGACCTTCACTAGCCACTAACAAATTCTGGCTTTCTCATAGAGTAATTATTAGATTTATTGTAACAATAACACCACCTTAGTTATGGTTTACAGAGAGGGGATTATATACAGTGCCTTGTAAAAGTTTCCACACCCTACAGTACCTATGGTGTCTTATTTTGTGAAAGAACACATTACACATTCATTTTAAGTTTATTTTATTCAAACTGAAACGTAAGGGTAAGGTAAGTTACAAAAAATATCAGAAAAAAAAATTATTTTAAAAAATAAAAAACACCAGTATTTAGTGGAAGCACCTTTGGCAGGAATTACAGCAGAAGGTTTGGGTCTCTACCAACTTTACCTGTTCTTCATGGCATATTTGCACAATGTCACAAGATGCATGAGGATACTGTAGCTTATGGACAGTAAGTCCAAGTCCTTCCACAGATTCTCAATAGCCTTCAAGTAAAGACTTTGGGCCATTCAGAGATGCACACTTTTTTATTATGACATCCAGTGTAGCTTTGGCCTTGTGCTTTGGATCAGTGTCCTGTTGAAAGATGAGTTTTCTTCCCACTTCTAAGACTTTAGCTGGCTGAAATAGATTTTCATCCCATGTTCACCTATATTTTGCTCCATCTAGAATTATTTCTATTCTGAAAAGCTTTCCAGTCCTTCCTGTGTAGACGTGTCACCACAGCACGATGCTACCACCACCATACCTGACTGTAGGGATGGTGTTCACTTGGAGATGTGCTACAGTATGTTAGGTCTTCACTAAATCTGTTCTTATCTGACTACAACAAAGTTGTCGGCCCTAGGCTTACTTGCCTAGGCTTTGATTAACCTGACGTTTTTGAGAAAATGTGCTACACAACTTTTGTTTTCAAGGATGAATGTGCAACTCTCAAGTCAGCTTGGCAAGGTATCAAAAATATCTATAATATTATAGATAATATATATATATTGTAATATTTCACTTTAAATGCACTTTAAATGTGTAAAAGTGCTACAAGTGGACATAGTTTTATGTGTATACAGTGCTGATATATTCAACTGAGTGTCATCTGAACTAAGCCAAGAAATCCACTGTGTTTTCAGGGCATGCTTAAGGGTTCTTGCTCAAAGTGACCTTTTATTAATCCTCAATTTGAAAGAGTGCTCTTTAGAATTGCACCAGCCAAACCTTGTTTACTTTTTCCAAACAGAATGAATTGAACAGCTCATTTTTAATTAGAGCAACTCCTGCTTGCAGTTGAATTATGCTCCAGATTAATTTGTCATAGTTTTTTTTTTTTGTTGTGTGAATTGAACTCTTTGCTTGGTGCAGTGCCTAGTCAGCCACCTGGGAGTACTTGAAAATGGGATACTTCATCACAGTCGCAACATACACAGTACAAGCTGTGGATAAATGTTGACACAGAGGCAATGTAATTTGGCATTGGTTGATTACTGCTGTTAGTTGCATTTGAAGTTGATGATAGAACTTGCTACTGCTTTCTTTTTCAAAATGTTTGATCTTTGTATTGCACATGATTACTAACTATGCAGCAAAATACTGTTAATTTGCAAATAAAGTTCATCTGCTTTGAAAATATTCCCAATATTGAACAATGCATAAGAAATAGTTACGTTCTTGTTATGACAGCCATTTACATTTACAACCACATAAGTGGGCAAGAGATATTTATATTACTGTCCCTGAGTTGACCCTTTAAATCCACTGCTTTGATTAAAGGATCCCAAGAGTTTCATATAAAGCTGTTTTTTGTTCACTTGATTAAGGAAGGGCCTATGTATTAATGATACCCTCGTTAAATGAAGAGACTGATATCTATATGAAAATGTTGTAGTCCTAGATGCAGATAAGAATAACTCCAATCACACAGAGGTTATCATGTGGGAATGCCCAGCTGACACCAAAAGCAGAGATAAACTAAAGCCCAAAACAAAGGTGACTATTACTTTAAAACAAACAAACACAGGCGACCTGCTTTGAAGTGTAAAATTTAACAAACGTGGCTATAGGGTTGAAAAAGTAGACTCTTTATTTTCCAGTTTCAAGGGTGTGTTCCTTCAGCTTCTGCATACAAAATACTTAAAATGCTTTATACTGGTAACTTTGGTAAACCTTTGGGTGGAAAAATATAGAATGATATTATAGTATCCACTTCTATTTTAACAGGAATTGGAGTCAGAAAGAGTAAAGTTGTTGGAAGAGGTGACATTCAACAAAAGGAAAATGCAAGAACTAGAAGATAACCTGCTGTTCCGCCTGACTAGTACTCAAGGCTCCCTGGTGGAGGATGAGTCCTTGATTGAAGTCCTCAGAGTGACAAAGACCACTGCAGAGGAGGTACTGTAAGAGCACAGCACTACAGCTAGAGATCATGTTTATGTTATAAATGCAGGGATAAGTCATGTGGCTTTGTTGGGGGGGAGGTGTGGTTTGGTATCATCCTTATATTCTATATATCCTTATATAAATATTCAGTTTCTGTTACTTCATGCACAGTAACAGTTACACCTGGAAGTTAAAAGGCTACTTTTGCTTTTCCCTGCGGCATGAAAAACATTTTAAAAAAGTGCAATAAGTCTGCATTTTTCTCAGGTCAGTGAAAAGTTAACAATCGCAGCAGAAACAGAAGTGAAAATCAACTCGGCTAGGGAGGAATATCGCCCTGTGGCCACCCGTGGCAGCATCCTGTACTTCCTGATTGTGGAGATGAGCCTGGTGAACATCATGTACCAGACGTCTCTTCGTCAGTTCCTTGGCCTGTTCGACATGTCAATGGAGAAGTCTGTCAAGTCACAGATCACCTCCAAGCGAATAGGCAACATCATTGAGTACCTCACCTATGAAGTCTTCAAATACACAGCACGTGGCGTCTATGAGGATCATAAGTTTCTCTTTACACTGCTCATGGCCCTGAAAATCGACCTGCAGGCCAAGAAGATCTCCCACAATGAGTTTCAGACCCTGATCAAAGGTAAGCTCAGTTAGTGTTGTAGCAGTGTTTCTCAATGGCCTGGCCTTGGTAGCCTCCTGGGTAGTCTGTGATTTCCTGAAAAAATATTTTGAAGGAGAAAAAAACTGAAAGCAGTTTTATGTTTAATGAGTGTGGACAGTTGAACTTTACGAAAACTTGATCAACGCTCATGCTAAGTTTCTAAGTTTATAACTTTGTAATTGTGTCTCCTTCAGTATTAGCTAGAATGGGATGTTTGTAAAAAAATAAGAATTGATTCGCAGGTGTCAGATGGACACATCTTGCGGGTATAAAATAGTGATTTAATTTGAGTTGCTTATAACAATGATCACCAAAATATCTTGTGTAACTTGATCTTTATTTATAAGTGAATCCTCTAAAGGAGATGTTCTGTGCAATTATGTGGCCATCTTTTTTGAAGTCCATAAAGAAATAAAAATGTAACACGGCAGACTTAAGGTTTGATGGAATTATGTAGAAGAGGCGAGCTGCATCAGAGCACATTGGGTTTAAAGGAACAAGTAAAGGTTAATTCCATGATGCAAAATAGAAAGCAGACACACATTGTTTTGGCTGTAGAGCATTCTTCAGGTGTGGTCTAGCACACCTCAGTAGATGAAATACAAGATCACAAATCCATGAAGTTAAAAATTACAGTGTCATTTCAGTTGGGACACACTGACTATGGGCCGTCCTGACTGTACTGTACAGTATGTGCAAAATGTACTGAATGAAAAATGTTTGAATTGATTAAATGCTTCCTTGATTTGATTTCTTCCTTAAAGGAAATTATCCATGTCTTGCTTCAATTGGCAAATGCTGTTCAGATTTCTGCTTACTTTATAAATTTCTAAATGCAGTCCATTAGTATGCTTACATCTCCTACACCATGTAAACAGTATAATTGAATTACATTAATCACCAGTGGATCCACATAATGGCATTTTAAAAGTGTATTGATGCATCTTTTAGTCATTAGTAAATCACAATATATCTTTACTTTGTTTGGTGATTTCCTGTAATAGATGGACTGTTGATATTAATATATATTCAGCCAGGTAGTGAAGATCTTCTGTATATTAGTATAGCAAAATTTAAGATTAGATGAATATTACATTCCATTACTTTTTGTGTTAGTATTTATAGCAATATAGTGAACACAACATTCAGCATCCAATACAACTTGCTACATTTCTACAATCAGAAAAGTGTCTAGGAACAATAATATTAGTTGTTAAGCTTTTTACAAAGTTCTGAATAGTTACTGATTAATTGATCAATGTGGCACATTTCTGTTAATTTGTGCTTTCATAACATTATGGTAAATCCTGCTTATCTCTTGCTGTTTTCCCTACTTTTATTTTAAGTGCAATTTATCCAATTTTGTATTTATTCATACAGTCATAATTCAGCTAATGGAATGATCATTTTCAGCTCTATTATCATTCACAGTAAATGATACAGAAGTTTGCTCTGTGTTACAATGCACTGTTTGGATGTTAATGTAGCATAAATCTTCTGATGATCTACCAGTGCCACAGGAAGGAATTAAAGCTATTAGTTTGCCAAATATTTTGGAAAAGGCCCTTCTCAGCTTGGCTTTGCTTTTAACTTAGCTTTTCCAACTGTTTACTGGCATGCTTTTATTGTTAATGGTTCATTCGTTCTTTAGTATATACAATTATATGTTATATGTTTGCACACAAACCTATAGTTGTTACCAATTACTGCTTGTGATCTTCAAAAGCTGGTAATATTAAAGTGGCTTATCTCCTGACTGCTTTGTTGCCAAGCTCCCAAATTCTGTTGTAGAGAAAGCTGTCAGAATCATGTTTAGAAAAGACCTCTGAGTTCAAAAAGGCAAGCATATTGTAGATTCTTTTATGTTCTTGTTTCCTGCTGCAGCACAGAGTTGACAGTTTTTCTAAATATAAATGACATTCCAACAATAATTTCAGTCGATTTTTCGATTTAGGTACAAAACAACACACTGATTCCACAGAATAAAGCCGAAAGTTTACTGTGACCATGGCTGGAGTAATAAGTACTAATATAATAAGAGACTAGGGTTTGTTTGGTGTAGTTCTAGTTTCTTTTGTGATGCCCCTGAATCCAACAATTGAATATTTCTATATTCTTTCTAAGGGGCTGTGTATTTTTAAAGTGCTGTGAAGACTGCTACAGAGAAGGTGTAACATAACTTAGTCAGCATTTTTCCCCCATTCTTGATGGATATCTTTGTTGATGCTATCTGTTGCTAGGTTACCAGACGGCTTTCAGGAAAGTGAGTAGGCATGCAGAAAATTGCAAAATAGTTAGAGCAATAAAAATCATTGCTCTCTGCTGGATATTTTCCTATGCTTGTGAAGCCCATTTTGTCTTAGAGCTCAGTGGGGAAAAAAAAGCTTTTCAAATCGCACCTTTTAAAAATATTCCCTTCTTACCAAAGCTGATTTAAATACGTCCTGGGGTCATATTGAATTTCTGACTTGACACCTAATGTAGTAATTAAGTTAACTGACTTCAGTTCACAAAGGAGCGCTGTGTTCAGTAGAGGCATGGGGGGAAAGCAGACTCATTATTAAAATTACAGAAGAATACATTTTAAAGTTATGGGTACAATGTTGTTCTTGACTTGTTACCTCACAATGCTCTGCACTTGCTGTCTCACAAAACGTTTTGGCCTTTTTAGTGCACCAGTCCATACAGTAACTGCTTTGTCTTTTGTTTTTTAAGCCATCCAGGAGGGTGGGAAGATGTGGGTATACTTCTTTCTCCTATAAGTATACAAACATTCCATTTTTTTTCTCTCACACCCATATCTATCTCAATACACATACCTATTCCAAGACAACTCATTCATACACTAGCCACTCTTGATACCAAACTATGCAAATATTCACTCCATCTTCCTCCTTATCCTACTAGACCTATCTTGCATTAGATCAAGAGTATTCACTTCATATTCACTCACGCAGGGAATGTTCTTCTTTTCTATAATGCAAGATGTGAAATGATGCCATTGTGCCGATTGCTGGGAAATCTGATAACTGATTAACTGATTAAAAAGTCCTTTGAGGAGTAACCTTTTTAAATTAATGAAATCTAGTTAATGAGAGTTAAAGAACTGCATTTTAAATCGGAATGAGGAGCTACATGGAGATCCAGGATTCTTATAAGACCTTTGAATTTGCAAAGTAACTTAAGGGTGACATTGAATAAAGTTCATATATCAACTTGAATGGAAATCATCTGAACTTCATACTGAGACACGCCTATATTCTGCACGTTTTGTCTCAATTTGACAATTTTGCCTATGGAAAAAAAATTGATTGGATTAAAGAACCCACATTTCTCTACTTAGTATAACAAGTTTTTAATTATTCCACATCAATTTATCTTATTCACGTGACCATTTGGTCCTGTTGCAGTAATCGGGGCCACACAGGAATCTTTCAACAGCACCCTTTTCATCGCTACATGCTTATTGCTCCACTAGTAATGAAATACTGAAGCACAGACTTAATGTTCCTTTGCTGCATAGGTCTAAAATCAGAAGCTCTCATCTCACTTATGTTCAATGCACCTTCCTGAATGATGTGAATAAATGGAGTGGCTAAGGAGCATACTTTACAGTTCACAATTTAGTCTTATGGTGTCTCTGCAACTACTTT